AACACCAAAAATCGTTCCTTCCACCCGCTCCGGCCGTGTATTCAATTTTAAATATATCACATCTCATGTGTGAAGTCAAAGCTCTGTAAATTTATAAAAAGCGCACCTCAGAACGCAATTAGCATTGTCATCTTATTGAATGAAGGAAAGGAATTATATACACGCCTGTATTATCACTAAATAAGTTGTTCAACGAGTGTTGCGAAAAATATTCGAGATAATTTTTCTACAGTTCTGGCACACACGAAAGGAACGTGCAACATCATCGTCGTCTTTATATTTATGTACATTTTAATTATTGTAAATTTTTCAATATTATTATCGAACTATAATCGATTTCGTGTGAAAGTGTATATGGCTTTTTCTGCGGTTAACAATAAAATGTTTTGTCAAAGCTTTTTTCACGAGATATGTATATATATTTTTCTAAATATCTTAAATGTCAATACCCATTTATCTTGATATTTTTCACTAATTCCAATTCATATCCATTAAAAAACAATGCTTCAATGATAAGAAATCAAAAAATATCTAAAATAAATCACATTTAACACATTTTTAATAAAAGAATATATTTATTCAAATATAAAAAATCAATATAGATATTTAAATAATTAAGTTCCAATTGCTGGACCATATTGTATAGAATGCTGTAACAAATAGAAATTGATTATTTTCGTAAATAAATATTCATGTAAAAATTAACACAGTTTATAAATCAGTATGTGAACGAGTGATTTCTCATCTTTCATTCAGGACTCTAGCCAGTTATTCATCAGTTTACTTTCAGCATAAAAAATTGTGTCTCATATTTATTTATTCTTCTCGCAAATACGTTAATAAAAATTCATTTTATCATTAGAGGAATCTCAATCACATTATTAATAAAATAAAGCAACTGATGATTTTTTATTATAATACTTTCATTTTTTACACGAATGAAAAGTTTAATATAGAATAATTAATAAGTTTGACAAGCAATTTACCTTTCTATTAAATAAAGCTAGTCTTCAATTACTTGTTGGAAAGTACTCTTGAGAGGAAGGGTGCGTCCTTTAATCCTCTACACAAAATATTTTTATTAAAAACAAGTACAATTAATTAAATAACTAAGCAAAATATAATTCAAGACTTGCTTCAGTCAAAAATAAAGTACACGTTGGAATTAGATTTTTTACATCAGGTTTCAGCCCCGAAAGAATATCATCATTGCAGTCTTGATAATACTTATTGTATCAGCACAGATATATTTATAACATTATTTTTTGTAGTATGCTAACGTGCATTTTTTAAACGCATTTAATTAAAAAATTTCAAATGATATTCTTACCTTTAAAATATAATTGATGACTCTATTTATCAGATCAATTTGTGTTACTTCTTCATTATGGACTTTTTTCCTTTAACACAAAAATTCAAAAGTACTCTTAAGAGTGCGCTTTTTAATTCTCTATACATACTTTTATTAAAAATAAGTATAAATAATTAATTATTTGAACAAGATATAATTCAAGACTTGCTTCAGTTAAAGATAAAGAACACGTTGGAATTAATTTTTTTACATCAGGCTTCAGCCCCGAAAGAATATCATCATATGCAGTCTTGATAATACTTGTTACATCGATGTAGTACATTTAGCATTAATAGGATTATCACAAATTCCTCATTAATTTAACAAATCTAAAACTTTTCCTTGGTTTCCAGACAAAATCATTTCATGATTTCCCCTGACTTCAATAACATTAAAAAAATTTTCGTCCTGATTTGGAAACCGTTAAATATTGGATTAGGGAAAAAAGTCTTTTTACAAGTTTGAGCATAATTGACATTTTTTTATTGTTTACAAACCATTTATTAAATCAAATATGTGCCATTTTGATCAATTATGATCAATTATGATCTTTTATCATTTTTCAGGTGGAGCCATTATTCCATCGATTTAAAACTTCTGTGATTTCTTGATAAAAAAAATCGAGATAAATGATTTTCGCAGGCTCCTTTTGAAGTCAAGTTTACTCTATTAAGGGAATTCTGCAAAAATCGAAACAAATGGTAATCGAACGGTGCAAGGTCAGGATTATATGATAGATATATCAAAATTTCCTAGCCAAACTCTCAATTTTTGTCAAGTTATTAAAGATGTGTGTAGCCTAGCGATTACACACATAGAACTGATCAATAGAAAAGATATTGTCATGATGGAAGACAATGCCTTTTCTATTGATCAGTTAGAATTCTAGCCGCTTTTCTTAAATGGATTACTCCAATCGCATTAGTTGTTGACAGTAGAGATCAGAATCAATCGTTTTGCCTAGAGGCAACAGTTCATGACGGATGACTCCTTTTCAATTCCATCAGACACATAGCATCACCTACTTTGGTATCAATCTGGGCTTTACCATTGTTTATGGTATCTCATTTCGTTCTGACCATGATTTTTTCAACATTATGTATTATCCACTTTTCATTGCCTGTTAACAATATTTTCAGAAAAGGCTCAATTTCGTTTCATTTCAGTAGTGATTCGCAAATGGAAATTCGATCCATTAAATTTTTACTGTCAAATCACGTAGCATCTAAACATCAAGGAAATTCTTTGTGTAGCCCCAAAATGATTTTATGATTAATGTTTAGTTGTTTAACATAAGTTGCTCACACGATTTTTTTCAATATTTTAGAAGATTTCATCGACATTTTTCACAGGCCGACCAGAACGATATGCATCTTTCACATCGAAATTTTTATCAAAATCGGCGAAACCAATTCGCTGTTGTTTGTCCAGTTAGAGGATCCTCTCCATTTATATGACAAATTTTTTCTGCGGCTTGCGCAGCGTTCTTTCCTTTTTTATAATAAAAAAATAAAATGTATCGGAAATGTTCCTGATTTTCACTCATTTTCAAATTTGATTGAATGCGTCAGTATCATTTAAATCTATGATTAATTTCGAAATGTTACATGAAATAACACTTTTTCAATGATATATAACCTAATACATCATCACATAATAGTGGCACATAAAAAAACGATCAGACCTCCATCTGTCGGTTATATGTAAAAAGACTTTCCTAATCCAATATTTTACTGAGTGATCAATAATGGCAATATAAATTACTATTAATGTTGCTAACACTGTTTGCATTTTAAATTGTTAAGTTGGTAATATTTCAAAACTGTGTAGATGTGATGTACATATATATAAACAATAATTGTTTACATTAAGAGGCACCGTAAGTGATCTTGACCTTGACATATAGACTGAATTTGAGGAGACGCTATTAGCACTATTTGTGTCATTCTATCTTCATTGTCCATTAAACATGAAACAAGGGTAGTATGAGGATACAAATAGCGTAGATAGCGTGCCCCATGAACGCAACCATGTTGCGTCAAGTTCATAATTCTAAGTGCCTCCAGCAAGTTTTAGGTGGCAGTTGCTGTTCATTAAAAAGTTATTAACAAAAAAAGTTTAAAAAATGATGTCTTTTCTACTATATGAATTATAAATTTTTTGCTTTAAAATATATTTTACGACTTTCCATGCGAAGCAACTTCCCCCTCCCCCTCCCACCTTCCTTGTTAAGGAGCGCACGACTTTGCAAGCGAAACTTCTTATTTCCCCTCCCTACTTCTTGCCAAGGAACGTCACTCATTATTAAGGCACAGTTACTTAGGATTTCGCATAAAATGCATGATGCATCATTTGTCCTTATTGTTTCAAATAATAAAAAAGGATAAAACGATACATCATGCGCTTCATATGTAACTTGGAACGCACCCATAGAAACCCATAACTTTGATAACATCAAGATAAGATCATCAACGCGTCCCTTAATGTAAATTATTAAATTAACTTCTTTAAATAATTTTTATTTTCCAGAAAGTTTCGCAAAATTGTCTGATTTCCTTGATTTTCCTGATATTTACCCAGTTTTATGAGAACCCTGATTAAACATTCTTTTTCATCTAAATGTGTATTTTTAAACGTATTAAAAAAAAAAAATTTTCATTTTTTAAATATCAGATAAAACAAAAAGAATTTGTGCGCGCATTTTAAATGTTTATGCAAAAAAAAAACAAAGGATATATTAATTATTCAAGATTTTGCATTTTCTTAAAAAATTTCAAATAATCTCACCTTTGAAATATAATTGATGTGTGCTATATATACCAATATTTGTATTAGTTTTTTATTATGGACTTTCCTTTAACACAGAAAGAAAAATTCGGAGTTAATAATATATATGTAATGATATATCATATAAATTAAATTTTCATTAATTATTCAGTACACGTTAGGATAGTTAAAATCATTACAATCATTTATAAAATTATCATCACAATTAAATCAATAAGAATTAACAAGAATTGTAATTGTAAATAGTAAATGCAAAAAGAAAAAAATGAAGATTATACAAACCTTAGTTATACAAAGTTGTTAGTTGGTGTCATCAATGATGTCAAAGCCTGAGCGTGATGTGTTATCAAACTATAAAAATATGAAAAAAAATTGTAAAATACACACAAAAAATATTCATAAATATCAACAAAATTTTCCAGCTGTGATTAATTTAATTTTCTGTCACAAAATATCTTTAAAATAAAAAGATTCACATCGTCTTACCAGTAAAAAAAAATCTGACAATACACAAAGAGAATTAAAGCAAACTTAAGAATTGCAAAATAAAAAATATAATCACAAACAACTTTGAATATATCAATTGGATTGTCAATTGACATGCTTTTTTATATATTTAGACTCAAACTGATATATTAATTTATTGATATTTTAAGTTATTAAAGTTAAGCATAAGAATTAGTTTATCTATGATTGATGAAAAATATACCTATAATTGTGAGTATTTTCTTGATGATCAACCTGGTGGTACAGCATTTATCTGAAAACATATAACATATTGTAAAAATACATGTTTATTAAAAATATTACCTTCAAATGATTCCAATTTTTTAAATTGGATATCCTCGTATAAAATTAATTTCGATCAATAAAATAAAATATATTGTTTTGATAAGTACAGTTGTTAAATGTTATATTATGTTTTACATCAAGAATTTGATTGAAGTATATTAATTTAATTTTATATTATATATAACAACAACGTATAATTAAAAATATATTATGTAAGTTTTTTATATTACATAAATGTTTGAAAAACGTATAAACATACGCACATATAATATATATATGTGTGTGTGTGTGTGTGTGTGTGTGTACACGCACGCACGCACATACACGCACACAGG